CTTCGACTATTGAAGGATTCATACCGCGTAACTATAGTGGTATTTTAATTCATTCGGGAAACTTGAAATCTTTTTGGCCTAAGCATATGAGTTCTGATGTTGAATTAACTATGTGATTTCATGGATTTATAATCTCTATGCCTTCTCTGTCAGGACAATCTTTCTCGAGGGAATCTGGGTGCTGTTAAAGTTCTCCGAGACTTATTTCCGGAGCTGTTGCAAAAGCAGACTTGGGAGATGCAAAAGCTGTAAACAAAATCTTTGCTGAAAATGCATTTGATGCTGTGATGCATTTCGCTGCTGTTGCATATGTAGGTGAAAGTACAATGCAGCCTCTCAGGTATACTTCGAATCTTCAATTTCAAACATTTATCTTGCTAAATCTACTGTTTGCATCCGGTCACTGTCTTAAATTGTTTTTCATAGAAGTACAGTTCTTCTTTGTCATCTCAATGTATCTGCTAGCAGTTGTCTCTAGAATTAATTTTTACCATGCTGTGCAGATATTATCACAACATCACATCAAATACCTTGGTAGTTTTAGAAGCAATGGCAGCACATAAGGTGAAGACATTGATTTATTCTAGCACATGTGCAACTTACGGCGAGCCTGTTAAGATGCCGATTACAGAACAAACTCCTCAGGTATGTTTCTGGTTTACGCCATCATTCTTGGTTCTATACTATGATGAGTTTTGCCTCTCGAATATGCAAATGCTGTAGCTCAATCCCCATATGACATGCCAGAAACCTCTTCTTTAACAATATAATATGAACTAGACCATGTAGATATCAAATAGCTCCTTGAGGTGTTGACCAGTAGTGAGTCTAGCATTTCTGTTCACCTACAGAGGATTTTGTAATTCTTGTGTTGAAGATTATTCTGACTCAAGGACAAAATGTCTCCATAGCTCATTTTTCCTCGTGCTTCACTCGTTTAACTGGTGTGTGATTTCAGCTTCCAATCAACCCCCATGGAAAAGCCAAGAAAATGGCAGAAGATATCATAATTGACTTCTCAAAAACCACTGAAATGGCTGTCATGATCCTAAGGTGAGTGGTGCTCTGGTTTCGATTGTTGTTAGTACCATGTTTCCCTCTGCCTAATTATGGATGTCCTATCGAGGACCTCGACAGTATTTATCAGACATTGAAGTACAATTTCTGAATTCGATGATGAATTAGTTATCCCTGTTCTCTGAAAATTAATTTAGTGATTTTGTATGAATTTTCCTTATCTAATTTCACAGATATGTTTCTTCCACTGCGGTCCACCAGCCAGCACTCTGATAAACTTAACGCCCATGTTTACGGATACTTCAATGTTATTGGGTCTGATCCAGAAGGAAGATTAGGGGAAGCTCCGCAACCTGAACTTCGTGAGCATGGCTGAATCTCTGGCGCTTGTTTTGATGCAGCTCGAGGAATAATACCAGGACTCAAGGTAACTTGAAACAGAAAACCACAATTCAGTGTTGGGGCTAGCTCCCTAAGATATTAATCGTTTAATATAAATGATCATACTCACATCAAGGAAGTGTAGTTCTGCTTATGTCAATGGCTTCAGGTTAAAGGGATAGACTATAAAACTGCTGATGGCACGTGCGTACGGGACTATATCGATGTCACTGACCTGGTCGATGCCCATGCGAAAGCTCTTGCCCATGCAAAGCCTCGAAAAGTTGGCATTTACAATGTTGGAACTGGAAAAGGTTTTTTTACTATATTTTTTTTGTTGAAATTCAATTTTCCATTTTGAGTGTTTCAGTTTTTCTTGCATTTCTTGATCCTGAAGATTGCTTGATTCCTTTCAATCACAGGTAGATCAGTGAAGGATTTTGTCGAAGCAAGTAAGAAGGCAACAGGTGTGGACACAAAGGTTGAATACCTGAATCGTCGGCCAGGAGACTATGCTGAGGTCTTCAGTGACCCTTCCAAAATAAAACAAGAGCTAAACTGGAAAGCTCATTATACTGGCCTGAAGAAGAGTTTGCAGATTGCATGGAAATGGCAGGAGTTATATTTGAATGGTTACAGTCACAGTTAATTGCACTATAGAAACCTTTGCTAGAGTCATCCGATTAAGGTCAAACACACATTTCTTATATTCCAGGAATCGTACACAGAATTTTGAAGGTCTGAGAAGCTGTAGGAAACTTCAATAATGTGAAGAAAGAAGAGTCTGATATACTTCGACATATCCATAGATAGAGATGTATAGGATCTTGTAGTTTCTCATTATATTCATACAGGCACAATGGGATTCGACAGGAAAGTCGTTTCAATCCAATCCTTTATCACATCAGTATATGTTGTTAGTATAGCTGGGTTAAAATCACAGGTTATTCTTCTCCTGCACAGGTTTGGAATAAAATCTCAATAGATCTGTAAATAAAAGGACTTGGTGATTGCTGCAATGCAAATTACGATGCATATACATAATCATCAATGTTGCACTTCTACTTCTGTATCTTAAGAATTTTCGATGTTACCCTATAAGTTTCAAAACGTTTAGATGTTATTCCAATTGTTAATAGCTAATGGAAATTAACATAATTTTCTCTCTAATTTTTTCTTAAATTTAAGAGGGTTTTTTACGATCTGGCCCTTTAATTTTGTCTTTTGTTCCTTCGATCCATAGAAAAACACAAACAAGATCAAGCACACAATATACAGCAAGCCAAACTCAAATTACAATTGTCTGTGTCGCAGTGGGAGGGAGGGAGAATGGTAAGTGCTATTTGCGGCTTCCAGCAGCAGAGAAGAAGAATCAGAAACTAACTAGAAGGGATGAACAAGGTGGCTGAGGGTTCACCCGCAGCCACACTAATAACGTTTGGTAACCTAGAAAAAACTGCGTCTAGCTGGTAGGACCCACCATGTTACTGCAAGTTTTGGAAAAGCAACAAACATTTGCTACTTCTCGTGGGGAATAAACCACAACAGGGATGCATAACTCTATGCGTTATTATTGCACTGTTCATTGCTAATTTAAATTTAAATTAGTTTTTTTAAAAAAAACTAATGCAAATAAATTAATTCACTTATATTATTCACATGAAAAATTTAATTTTTTTCTTTAAAAAATCAATGCAATTAATTTATTTTACTAGATGTGATCACATGAACATGAATAATAACTTAAAAAAAAAACTATTTTAAGGTGAATTAAATTTACTTGTACTATAATCTCAATTTTATTCTTGATAATATTTCATTTAATTTTATTGTACGCTCAAAAAATCATGGAAGCTGTAATTCTTGTCAAATGAATTTTGTACGTAATGAAATTATAAATTTTTTAAAAAAATTGAGTTTAACTCGAAAAACTAATATTTAATATTATTTAATAACACTATATAAATTAGAAAGATATCGCATGATGACGTAACATTTTTTAAAATTTGATCGCAATTCCAATTATATTCTTGTCGGGTCCGACCTAGTTAAAAAAATTTTATTTTTATTTTTTAATTATATTTTATTCAAAAAATTACAAGGAGATTGTTTGATGACATAAAAAAAAATTCACTTTTTATTGTTATGCGCTTAAAAAACCATGAAAAATACAATTCTTGTTAAATAGATTTCGTATGTGATGACATTGCATATAGTTTAATAGAATAATAAAAATATTTGCAATATTATTTATTTCATTATGTAATAACAATAGTTAAATCAACAATATTTAATTAAAATTTATTAATATTAATATATGTATTTTTTTAATTATTGTTCAACCTCAATTTGAAAAATATTTTGTTAACCAAATATATTAAATTATTTTTTGTTCAACCTTAATTTCAATAACAATTTTAACCAAACATATATTTTTTCAATCCAACCTTAACTAAAAATACTTTTTATAAAATTAATTTTTTTCAAATTATTAAACACACCAAGGTAATAGTTCTATAGTCAAGCATTTAATTACTATCTTAAAATAAAAAAGAGAACAAAAAAAACAAAAAAAAGATATATCCCCTTATAACTCCTATTTTAAAAATACGTAAATTCATTTTAAAACTATAACAGAAACAAATTTATTTTATATTTATGTTTATATCCCTCTAACCAAACACCTTTTTATCGATTATAATCCACGCCTTGTGTACAGTGACATTAATGACAAGAAAGCTAAATAAGCTGAGTCATGCAGAAAAAAGACAATGACAAAGCCGGATTTGAAAATGCTTGCAAGCATTTTCAAATAGACTTGACTCGATGTTTTCAAGTGGCAAAGCATCCTAGAAGACATTTATGGGGATGTAACCAGGCCTCAATCCCAAATGAAATTCTTACGTGTAGAGGAAAACGACAGGAAAGATTGTTTCTTGACAAAGGTTGTTTTTGTGTTCAATGGCAGCTTATGACATTTGGATAATCAAGACTTTGACCACTGTTTAGTGTGGTTTCTTTTAGTTGGTTCTTTCAATGGAGTTGTTTCTCTTTTGTATAACTGTGCTGTTATCTTTTGGAACTCGTCAGTTAGGAATGAATGGAAACTTCTACTTCGCCTTTCTCCATCAATGTAAGTGGTTCTGATCTGACAGTTATTGATCTGTCATCATTGAGCTACATGAAGAGCTCTGTACAGATATTTAACAAGAAGATGTCTGAGTTATATTGTAATAATTGGATGATGTTTAAATTTTATTAGGAAATTCTACATGCTTGGTTCACTGATGAAAGACCTTCAAATTAGGCTGGAAGGTTCTTCTTAGCTTGGCTATGTTATTTTTATTTTTTTTTTCGGATTTTCTAGTTTGTTTAAGTTAATTTCTGTGTTTATTTGAGTTGTAAATTTTTTTAAAGACAAACTATTTAGAAAAAAAATTAATAATAAAATTTAGAATTAAAGTTTGTGTGTGGTGATCAATAATAATTTTTTTTAAAAAAAAATTATTTTTAACATTAAAACATACAAATGATCTAAAAATTAAAAAAATCATGAAAACTTCAAAAAATATGGTCAGGCTGTAATGCGAAACACACAACCGAAAAGAGATAAATCAGCTCAAGACTGAGGCATTCTGTTCTGAGTTTACATAGTTTACATTGAATTGTATATTTCCTAATGTACAAGTTGCTAATAGAACACAGATGAACAAACTGTGACCTCCAAAGTAAAATCGTATAGTCAAGCAGAGACTTCAGAAAGGTTAAATGCGTTTCTTATGTGAGAATTTAAGCTTGCCAGAGTAACGCCAATATCCGGTCTAGACTGAGTTGAATCATCTGACAGAAAGCCGTGCACTTGATTTCTCACCTCAACCCAGCTGCATCCGGGTTCTTTTACCGTGCTACCTGCGTTCATCAACATCCTTACTTCCTGCACCTCATTCCATCTGTTTGCTTCGGCGTGAATGTTTGACAAGAGCACATAATTTGATGTTTTATGAGGTTCAAATTCCGAAAGCTTGTGAGCAGCTAGCCTTCCAAGTTCCAGATTCCCATGTGCACGGCAAGCCCCGAGCAATGCACCCCATACTCCTGCAGTGGCTTTCACCTTCATTCCCCTCACTATTTCAAAGGCTTCGTCTAACCTCCCCACCCGTCCAAGCAAGTCAACCATACAAGCATAGTGCTCCGCCAATGGTTCTATAGCATACACTTTACTCATGCATTTGAACAATTTTAGGCCGTGATCAACCATGCCAGCATGATTACATGCAGACAAAATACCAATGAAGGTGACTTCATCAGGAGCCATCCCTTCCAAAGCCATCTCCTCAAAGAGTTTAAGTGCCTCTTTTCCATATCCATTTATTGCATACCCACCAATCAAAGAATTCCAAGAAATGACGTCAGCATGACAAATTCCATTGAACACAAGCTCAGCTTCCAAGATTCTTCCACATTTAGCATACATGGTGATCAATGCATTGTTGACAACTAAATAATTCAAATAACCACTCTTCACAGCCACCTGGTGAAGTTGGTTCCCAACTTCGAGGGCTGCAATAGTGGCACATGAACTTAGTCCACAAGCAAAACTTAACTGATCAGGTTTCTTACCTTCAAGACTCATCAATGCAAAACTTTTTAGAGCATCCAAATTCTGTCCATTTAGCATGAAACCGGCAATTAATGAGTTCCAAGATACTAAATCCCTCTCCCCCATCTCTTCAAAGATCTTCACGGCTCTATCCATTTGGCCTCCTTGAGCATAACAAGAAATCATGGTATTCCATGTGACCATGTCTTTATTGACCATTCGTTTGGATAGACAGAGAGCTTCATTGATTCTTCCATGGTGTGCATAACCTGCAATCATAGCGTTCCAACAAACCACATCCCAGGTGCCTATCTCATCAAAGAATCTTCTAGCTTCATCCACTTTATTACATTGTATGTAACCAGAAATCATTGCTGTTTGGGCCCCAATGTTCCTGTAAGGCATTTCATTCAACAACTCTCTTGCTTCATCAAGCTTACCAACACGAACATACCCATTAATCATAGTAGTCCATGACACAGAATCCCTCTCCGGCATCTCCTCAAATAACCGACTAGCCTCATCAATTTCACATCTCTGAACATAAGCAGAAATCATTGCATTCCAAGAAACAATATTTCTACTCGGCATTTGGTCAAAGAGCCTCCTAGACTCCAAAATATTTCCATTTCGTGCAAACCCACTTAACATTGTAACCCAAGAAACAACATTAGGCTTTGGAATCTCTTGAAAAAACTTCCACGCAGAATCCAAATCACCCACTTGGAGAAACCCATCAACCATCAAATTCCATGAAACTACATCACGTTCATCCATTTCATTAAAAAACTCCAAACCCAATCGCATTTTTCGATTCTGAGTATACCCAGCCAGCATTGAGTTCCATGAAATTAAATTCTTAACCGGCATTTCATCAAACAACCTCTTAGCTTCATTAACTCTCCCTTTCTTCACATAACCTGAAATCATCGCATTCCAACAAGCAACTCCTTTCCTATAACTACACGGAAGCGAATCAAACAACTCCTTCGCCTTCTCAACCTCCCCATTACGCGTATAACAAGTAATCATCAAAGTCCAAGAAAATAAGTCCCTTCGAGGCATTATAACAAACAGTTTATAGGCTTCATCAAACTTCCCATTATGCAAGTACCCAGAAACCATAGTGTTCCAAGAAACTAAATTTCTGCGAGGCATTTTATCGAACAGGTTGCGCGCAGCATTGATTCTTCCATTTTTCGCGTAGGCAGAGATCATTGAATTATATGTGACAGTATTTTTCTGGGCCATTTGAGTGAAAACTTTGATTGCATCTTCGATTTGACCCGATTTTCCTAACTGGGTTATTCTTTTGTTTTGACTGAAGAGATGATGACTCCCTTGTTCCCCAACGGAGACTAGCCTTTGCTTCATGATTCGAAAAACTGATCAATTTGAGAAAAAATTTTGTCTCCATTTTGAGGTTTCCTTGAAAGCCCAAAAGATTGTCTTGGGCATTATGGCACCGAAGGTTTTTTCAGAGAAACAAATGGGCCAAGCTTAAAAGAGCACAAGTCCACATACCACCACAGCCCTATGGCGGCCTCATGTGAGCCCACTTGTGGGTTCACAAAGATTTTGATCGCAAGTTCATGGCATCCCCTGAATTTAAATAAATTTAACGGGGAATTTTAAATATTAATCTTAATATTTGAATTTAAAAACAAAGAAGGAAGTTAAATGTTGAAATTTAGAGCGATAGTTATTAATCTGAAACTTGTGATCCAAAACATAATTATAAATCAAGGAAAATTTTTGGTTGACCCAGAGACTAATTCTCAGACCTTACCGTCTGCATTACTGGTAAGATCAAGAAAAACAAGAGCATCAAAATCATGCGTGAGCAAAAACTAAATTCCATGCATGCTCTTCCTCGATTATAGAAAGTTTATAGCTATCAGATTGTTGCTAAAGGAAACACATAAACATGATCAAAACTCCCAGAGGGGTAAACTGGTAATTCTGTAAATGCCCCTTAATTTCAGTGGGTATAATCTTACGAGTGCTACAATTAACAAAGAAAAGGGGAGTTCTTTCTATATGGTTCTTTCAGCATCAAAAGATGGTCAGCCAGGACAATCATGAATCTCAAGGATGATAAATAAGCAGCCGTCCTGGAAAAATAGGGTCTAATGTGTTCTGCCGATTAAAATAGCAGTACTCCCCCCCATCTTTTCTTTTCCAATGAGAGCGCCTCCATGTTTTAAACTCAGAAGGCATGTAGTCTACAATGGTCCTGAGAGTCGTTTCAGTTTAATCATCACAGCTCGTCGTGAACTTCGGGTTCTGGGTTGGCTTTTTCATCAGCTGATCCCTCCGGGTTGATTTTTTCTTCAGCGGAACCATCTGAATCAGTTGTTTGTTTCTCCTTTTCAGGAGTCTCCCCAGAAGTTGAGTCAGCACTGTTCGTGTTGTCTCCGCTGGTCTCAGTTTTGTTCTTCTTAGGCTTCTCAATTTTTGGCTTTGGCTTGGGAATTCTGTTAACACTGGCGACCTATATAAACACCAATCAAATATCAATTGAAAAGGCACACAGGCAGGAAAATCTTTACGCCATATCAAATTCTCGTTTTGTAATAAAGAAGTTGCTGAGACTTGCAGTAATACCTTGTCTTGCAGATTCAACACCTTCGAATATATTTCTTCAGATGTCAGTACTGGTGTGCTGAATCCTGAAGCCCTGTTGGGAAATAGGGAGGAAGAACGACTTTGTAATCACTTGGATTTGAACATGCCCGTAGGCAAGAAAATAAAATAATAAAAATCTCCTTATATGCAGAACCAAATCTTTGAACCCTTACTTCTTCTGTTCAGCCTCCTTTTCATCCAGCCAACTCTTTAACTTGTCAGCATCACTCACCACCTGCAAAACCACACATTCACAAAATCCATATGCAAGCATAACTAGAGATTGTTCCAATCGTAAACAGATTCCAGAAAATCTCATGAGGAGGCCATGTTAGATTAAGGTGTGGAAAAAACCTCATCTACTCTGTCCTTTGGAAGCCAAGGTTTCTTTGTCTCCCAGCCCTGTACAATCTGCAGGAAATGATAAAAGAAATGGTCACCATGCTTATCATGCTGTCTTCAAATTGAGCCACAAAGAAAACAATATTTAATCAATGGTTGAAATGCTAGCCTATCAAAGCTTTGGTTTTTTTTTTTTACCTTCCCGTATTTAGCTTTTATCCAAGCAAGTAGATGCAATACTAGTTATCAACATGTCGCTTCCCTGTCCCACAGTTTCATCGTATTCAATTTGAGCAGCTGAAATAGACAGATCAGCAAAGACTGCTGTCTGTCCCATAAACAAAAGCCCCTCCACACCCCGGGGATATTTTTAAAATACAATGATCCTTGATTAACTTTTCGAAGTGACAGGGATTATGGGGCAAAAAAAAAAGAAGAATAATAGTAAAATCCAATGGGAAGGGTGCATTTCCACAAATAAACATATTAGTTAATTTAAAATTCATCTATTTTTCCAGCCTAGGATTTTTAGTTTTTTTTTTTTTTTTCCCAGCTTCATGATCAAGATGGCAATAGTCAATGACAACATACTCTGAGCCCAAGGAAAAATAAACATTTTTTATAAGGCATGTGATTGAAATGCAGTATCTGAAGTACCTGTTGCAGCTCCCCAATGTACTTTCGAGCTAACTCTATTGCTGTTGGTCTTGCTGAAAGTTCTTTATACCTATATCAAAAAAATTCACAAGTTGGAATTAATAATTCAAATAGCCAATCACTTGTGTAAATAACAGTTAGCATCTAATTAGATGCCCCAACTACAGCCAGAAAATATCACACCTGAAAAATATTGGGTCACCAAAAGCTTTTAGAGAATCTAGGCGTTCCTGAAACTCTTTTGCTGTGGCATCTTCACCGTCTGTGTATAGCCACTCTTGGACCTAAAACAATACAGCATGCTCCCATTTCACAAATTTAGGCAGAGAAGCCAATATCATGGACCCTTTTAAATTCCCAAAAATACTTGGAAAAAAATAGAGGAAAAGGCTCACCTCATCAAGCTTTTCAATGAAGGATTTCCGTTCATCATCAGTAGAAACTTTCTCAAACTCTTCAGTTGTCTCAAGCTGGCACGGCAGGTAAAGACATCAACAATAAATCAAAGGAAATGGAATGCTGACTATTCATAAGAAAACTCTAAATTTATAATAGCAATCAAATCAAGATTAATAGTTTCCAGGAAAGGTGGTCATCACAAGAAATGGAACTGTCTAATCTTTATTTTTAAACTAAAAGTTGAATTGATCGAAAATTCCAAACCTTTTCTTTAGTAGAATATATATATCCTTCCAAATTATTTTTCAACTCGGCAGTTCTTCTTCGCTCTGCATCCTTTTTGTTCAATTCTTCTAATTTTCTTTTAGCTTGAGCTAGATATTCTTCGGACAGAGGCATTCCAGGTCCCACTGTCTTCTCAAGAATCTATAAATATAAACAATAGAAATAAGCAACAAGAGAGGTGTGAAACACACAACTCACCATCATAAAACTTCCTAGCATGCAAGTGAAAAAACTTTTAAAGCTGCAAGCTTGTTTTTACCTTCAGGGGAACCCTGAAAGTCCGCCTTTTCAGCTTCTTCTCTGTAATGGGCTCAGTAGTACTTGGTTCTTCAGTAATGTTGATGGATGTGTTGTCAGTCACACCATCAGAATTTGACTTTTCATCGCTTTCTTCTGTAGTGTTCTTAGTGTCAGTTTCAAGTGTTATATTTGGAGATGTAGTGGTTGTGTTTTCCACAGTCAGGTTCTTTTTAGGAACTTCCACCCATTCTGATATTTCAATAACAGCATCTGCTCGATCCAAAGAAAGAATTCCACTTCTGCTAAGAGAGAAATGCAGATTTGCCTTGATGGGGGATGACAAATTCCGTGAGGAATACCTAGCAACACAAAGGAAGAACAGAAGAGAAATGTGATGTTAGAAGTTTTCGTGAAGGAAAGTGATTCAAGATACAAGCATTGAGCCTTATATAAACCCAGAAATGATTCAGAGTATAGCTATTCTTACTTCTCACTTGCATCTGCTAGACCAGACACAGAATACTGAGCAAATACAGGGGAGGTAACACCAGGTGGTAAAAGATCAGGCTCATATGACAGTGAAACTTCAAAATCTTTTGTATGAATGATGGATCTGAACATCTGTAAAATAAAATAAAATAATCCATGCATAATAAGTACAACTGGAAAGCAAATTTTGAGGCATTTGGGGCATCAAAATGGTTTTTCTGATTGACCTTTTCAAACACAACATAGTCATTTTACCATGTTATTTACCTTACTGGGGAGTTTTCTCATCCTTGGAACAAGTAATTGCCTGGTGCTCTCATCTTTCAGCAGATCAGGTCCGTCTAACTCAACTACCAATCCATATGATGAACCATCAATCATTCCTAGCTTGCGATTCAATTTGATTCCATCACTCAAATTTGCAGCATGTAGAGATGAACCAAGAACTACAGCTTCATCGGCATCTAGATGCTTGTCCAGCTCATTCTTTCCAAGAAATTCCTGGAGTTTAGCCTGTTATGTGCCCAAAGAGTTTTCTTTTATTTGCATCCTTAACACAAATCAGATCTAACACAGAAATAGAAGCTTAAGATTGAAGGGAGATATTAATTGATAAGCAGCTAAGTGCATGGTATAGGGGATCATTCCAAACAGAAACTTAAAGAGCTAACTTCAATTCGTTAACATCACAATGACCTTATAATAAAACTACCCTTATCCTGTTCTTTTTACGGTGGTAACAACACATGGCCTCTACTGCTTACACATCATCTTCACCGTAACCATTCTTCTATAATTCAGGTTTTTTTTATTAAAAAAGAAGAAGAAAGAAGGAATATGAAAGATTGATTTTTTACCCTGACTTGTTAGCTCTCCAAGATTGTGCAAATCAAAACAGTAAGAACAAAGATTGGAAGTGGGACCAAATAAAAAGAAATATCAGCAGCTGACACAGTGGGGCTTGATTACCAGCTGAAGCTTCATTTTAGGAGAAAATTGTTGACATGACTAATAGTAGACTAAGATGGCTAAAATTGATGGATAATATAGGCAAACACAAAGTGATAGTAGTAGGTATTATTCAAACCAGTGATCGTAGTAGATTAAGATACCATTGCTTTAAACAACTATCATTAAGTTTATTTTAACTATTGTTACAAAGCTTAATCAGTTTTCGTGGGCTTATACACAATTGAAGAAGATTGTACCAACCTGCAACTTGGGGACTCTGGTAGCACCTCCTATAAGCTCTACCGCATATAACTCGTCCAAGTCTAAACCTGAATGCTTCAGAACTTCCTTGAGAGGTACAAGAGATCTGTCCCACAGATCTGCACAGAGCTCTTCAAACTTCTCACGTGTTATGGTGCTCCTGGAGAAAAATTAAAGATAATGGTTTGAATGATTTGGGCAAGGTATATCCACAGAGGTGCTGATGACATATAAGCATCAAGCACAACTCAATGTCTAACCACCAGTACGCATGCATATTGTAACAACATTACAGTCAGTTAAGATAATTTCTCACACATAAAGAGAAAAATGTTCATCATGTAAAAAATTATAGGGGGCTAATGTGAGAACAAGTGGAATAATAAATTCTCATAAATATGCACCCAGACATTTGCTCAGCAGGCAATGAGGCAGTGCAGCAAGGCAGTAAGAAAAAAAATGTACAGGTACATGAAAAAGGACACGAACAAAAAAAACTTGAGGAATTGTTTAGAATCTACTGACCTGAAGTCCCGATCATCATAGAGGGATTCAACTGATATTGGAGCCACAGTGTTCGCACTCAAGATTTCTTTCGTCCGTTTGACCTGTTTCTTCAATTTAGCCATTGCCTTGGGAAACTTCCTCACATCAACCCCATTTCCAACTTGTTTATTAAACTCATCAGCAAAGTACTCCACCAACCTTGATTCCATAGTCTGACCTCCAAGTTCTGGGTCCCATCTGACATCCTTAACCTGGAAATATAATTAGCATTCATAACATTGCTAGCGGTACTGAACTAATCATCCGTAAGAAGAACAACAAGATGTATAGGACAAGGCTGGAAGTGAAAATATTGAGGCTATCATATGATAGTGGTGAGGAGCATCTAACATAAATGACATGATTCAGATCAGAACAAGCAACCACAATCACAAACTTAATGTAAGAAGAATGGCCACAATGCAGCTTTTCAGTAAGATATTTCTTTTTTGGATCCACTGCCTCCTATTTCAATATTCAAACATAATGCATTTTTCTACACAGAAATCTATCACAGAACAATTAACAAAACAAACAAAACATTCTAACTGATTACCAAATGCCAATTACTGAAACCAAACTTACCTGAAATTGATTAATAGACACAGTCTTCCCAAACTCCTTAGCATTATACGCTGAGAAGTAAACAAGTGCAGCATAAGTGCTACTCGCACCCATGTCATAAAACACAACATACCGCGACCCATTAGAAAAATCCTTATCAATCCCATATTGCAATGCAGCACCAGAATGCTCATTAATCAAAGCAAGCACATTAATCCCCGCCAATTGCGCCGCCTGAACCAAACCCCTCCTCTCCGCCTGCCCAAAATATGCCGGCACTCCAACCACTGCATCCTTAACCACGACCTTAGAATGAAACTCCGCCAAATCCCCTGCAAAACCCAAAATCATCCCCAACAACTCCTCCACCGAATACAACCCCACATTCCCACCCTCATCCTCATCCTCAACCCTAAACGCAACTGCCCCTCTCGAATCCTTCACCACATCATACGGCAAATACATTGCTTCCAGAAATCCCTTAACTTTCTCATAGGATTTCCCTAACATATCTCGCAAATGTGAATACACTTTATCTGGATACCGCGCAGCAATCCCCAATGCTTCTTCACCTAAAAGCCGAGTTCCAGATTGGAATGCAACTAAAGCTGGTGTTTTTCTCTTCGACATTTCGTTAATTGCTATAGAAATTGGGGTTTGGCCTGGTTTTAGGTTTACTACTGCTACTTTTATCCATTCCGAACCTAGATCTATGCTCGAAACAGCAGATTCTGACGGAATTGAATTTAATAATAATAATAATAACACTAACCCTAACCCTAATTTTAATAAACTCATTTTGATCACGAGTTTATTCTTGTCACTCGATCAAGAAAGGAAGGAAGGAAGCAATCTGTCTGCAAAAGAAAGGGAAAGAAAGAAAAAGAAAGGTCAGTGCTCTGTCTGGACAGGTTCTTATTTCCCGGATAACAAGTATAAAATTTGTGAAAAAAATCTGAAGAAAAAAATATTTTCCCGGAACACAAGCAGAAAATTTGTGAAAAAAATTTAAATTTTTTTCAAAACAGAGAGGCAGAGCTGGAAAGAGGGAGATACCAGAGGATGAATTGCATTTCCTAGAGAGAGAAGTGGTATGAACTTGAAGCTGATATTGATTTATGTTTTTTTTCTGTTTGGTTGACGAGAAAAAGAGGAGAGAAAGTGGAGTGGCTTAAATCAGGTGGCAGAGGTGGGGTGTTGACGTGGGAAATGAATTGAAACAGTAGCCAATAGGAAATGGCTACGTGGAAAAAAGTACACGTGGTGAGATCTGAGACATCAGCTGCGTTGTTCTGATGGTTGCAGTAGAAAGCAAACGAAGTTATAACCTCAAATTATAAGTTATGACATCAAACTATGCATAAATTATGATCTCGACCCTAGAAGTACTTTTTTTCTTAATTAGATCCCATGAAATATTAGATGTTCTTCAATTAAGCTTTGTATAGGTAAATGCACTTGAGATCATGGCTATCAGTTATGGAAAAAAAAAATTCAATATTTAGGTTTGATTTTTTTTTTCAACATTTAGGTTTGATTTTCTATATTCGCATGAGTGAGTCTAAAAATTAATTATAGTATGTATAAGTTAACTTGAATATCCCAATTTAAAAAACTAAAAAAAAAATGCAGTATTTACTTGCATAAAATATTAGACATCTATTTTCTTTCGCAATCAAAGAATGTAATCACGAGGCTATTTTTTCATATTATTATCTATAAAATAAATTATATACTTTATATATAAAATTGTCTTCATTCAAGTTAATATTGACATTATCTATGAGATATATGTAAACTCCTTGAATTACCATGTGAAAAAGAAATTTATTAATTCAATAATATATATCATCTTCATTTACTATCTCTACCACTTACAACAGACAACCTTTAAAACCGCATTACTTCTACTTCTACGCTAACTTAAACAGTAAACAATTTCATACACTACGCATGGACTCGTTTTGCAGAAATTTATGGATTATCGACAGAACTCTTCATCTGCAACCTTTAAACCTTAATAATTACCTATGAAAAGCCCTAAAATCTCTTTAAGTTTACTCCAAACTTTATTAATGGCATCGAAAAGCCGGACAAAAACTAGTTCATGCTTTTCATTTTGCGCTTATCTCCTAGTTCTTTTCATGGCTGACAGAAATACCAGGACATGGGACAGTCCAGGATCTCTTTACAGATGCTTCATTATGTTCTCTACATCTTCAACAACTTTCAAGTGAGAAAACTCATTAAAGCTCTTTTGACCATACAAAATGCAACTCAAGACCTTGCCTCTTCCCCCAGTTGATGGCACATTCGCTAGTTCCATCACCTATACAACTAATTGTTTATAGTTCCATCACCGCTTGAATGATGCCATGTACAAAATCCATCAGAAGACGTTTTGTGGGCTCGACCTATTACCTAATGAAATGCCTTGAAGGAATATAGAACACAAAACAGCATGGGTTTCTGATTTCTTGTATATATACAAGAAATAGATGGAGAGAAGGCTCAAATTTCTTGGAATTCATCTGAGACTTCTGCATATTTATCATGCTTGTTCGATTCCTTCCTAGACTGATTATGTACCAAATTCTTGCCAAGTTCGCATGTGGAGCAGCAGGGTTGCTCAGGATGCTCCAACAAGCACCTCAGCAAAAATTAAAGAAAAGCTAGGAAGTAAGATTATTTCCTTTAGACAGAAATCTCTTAGAACTTTCTGCATACGAGAAGCGTATGAGTTAAGAAAATAAAAAATAAACAAATAAAAACTGTGAATATAATGCTACATTCAATATCAAGTTACATGTTTGCTTCTTATATACTCTGTGGTTGCTTGCTTATTCGAGTGTTATGTACAAGTATAGAAAACAAAGGAACAGTGGATAACTCGATCTGCGGATGACATGTTAAACATCTAGAAAAACCAATACTTCTTTCTTCCTACTCTGGTGGGAACATCTGTAGGAACAGACAGTTTTCATGAAGGTTATTAGTTTGGAAGTAGCATGAGAGGGGAAAAAAATGTAGTACTGAAGGAAAAACATGTTGCAAGTATTGGTTTGTCCCTCACCTCCAATTTCGTACAATGAATTGTAATGAACTTCACTCCAAAAGCTTAGCCAAATTTCTGGAAACAGGAACAGCAGCCATAATATTAGATCAAGACCACTGCAATTTCATTCAACTTATAACTGTTAGATTTTATCCAAATTTACTAAAGAGCAGAAAAGAGATTAAAATGATCTATCTTTGTTAGGTTAGTTCCTCTTTTCAACTCCCATCCCTTATCCTGGTACTGGCTTCAAGATTCCCATGATCTTAAAAGGTATTGGAGGTGATAATTGTAAAATAAAATATTCAGTTTCTCAAGATAGGTAAAGCATGCAAAACTTACGAATGATAGGATAAGAAGAACTTGCATCTGGACTTTCAATTTACTCTACCGGAATCAATCATAACACAGAGTTCCATTTAATGACAAGCATTATACACATTAGAATATCGCAATGATGACATATGGGATATAGTATCAGATTTAGATCTACCTCTGGTTGGACTCCTGTCTTTCGGAAAGATTTCGATATAGCATGTGTCCCGAAAAGATGTTAACACACAAATTTTGGCTCCAAACTGAATGCATGCCCGTAAAAGGTCAGAGGATAGCCATTCCATACATAAGTGAGTAGCAGTTACAAAGAATGAGAACAATTAGGTTTCATGATTTATGTTCTTAAGAAAAATAGATCTAATAAATTAAATAGGAAAAAAGCAATCAAGGAGCTAAACAGATAAAACTCCACTTACTCTATCTGCAGCTGCTTGTAGGGTTACATGATCCCCCCATTCCCCTGACCTAGTATCATGTAAGGGTTTGCACACAAAAATTAGAATGCAGCTACATTTATTGTAAGCATGCTTTCCATTTTTCAGGAAAATAAAAACTAGTAGGCATCGCCATAGAAGGCTAACTTTTTCATCTTCTTCACATAGCTTCTATACTTCATTGGGACATATCCTTCATACAATTTTCTGTGATGCTTTAGCTGAAAAGGAAGATGAATGAAACAATAAGGAAAATAGTGAAACATGACAGAGAAATTTCATAGAAAAAAAAACACTACGTAGACTCGTGTATACTGCCAGGCACATGGATGTATTTGAAGTTGGCCAATAGTGGCTGTTTTTCCAAATACAACCTCTATCTTTCCCAAGTTATAATGAATTAGTGCAATCATGTGAGATTTACCAACATACCTGCTTGACTATTTGTTTCCTTGCATGTTTGTGGTAATCTGGACTGCGAAATATCTGGTCTGCTAATGCTCGAAACTGTCAAATAAGTCAAACCAGTGATTTATAAGCATACTTTGTAATAGAGTTCTCATAGTGACTTATGGAACTCTTTCAAACATCCTTACATGTACAATCATGAATAAACAGTTCAAAAAAATGAAATATGCCATGGTAGCCGCACCTGGCAATTCCCATCACCTTCGATTTTTAGTTCTTCTAAACCATATATAGCCAACCTGAATGAAAAGCACTTACTAAGACAACTGAAAGATGAACCAATCATTTTGCACAGAAAAGAAATCATTTGGCATCAGATGGTAAATGCCATATTGAATAAATGGAAAAGGATGCTCATAGGGCCATGCAACACCAAGCCAACGTAACCATAAAAAATGCAAAGCATTTAGAAAGGATGCTACCAACTGAAACAAAATTCATCGAACCTGTGAGAAAAGGCAGACACATAATAATAGATAGTGATACTGGCATGCCACATTACAGACAGGCTAAAAATGAAATGCATGATATGAGAATGAAAAAGAAAAAGCATATAGGGTGGATAACAACATCAAACCTTTCAGATAGCCGCTCATGGTCTAAGGTTGCATCATTCACATCAGGGATCTCACCATTAACCCTTGGAGTGAGCTGCCAACACCATGAACCAATGAGCATTCACATGACTAAATAAAAAGACAGAAGTTACTCAACAGCAGAGGTAAATGAGGCAAAAGAAGAAGAAGAAGAAGAAAAGAAAAGAGGACGAATATGGATGCCACTGGTTAATATATTAGGTTAAACGAAAAAGATAACAAATCACTAACATAGAAGCAAGTGCCAGATATGTTGTATAATTGCTTGAAATTGTTGAAGAAGCCTTGGCGAACATAATCCAGTGAGCAATTCCTACTCAGTTCCTCTAAAGACATATGCTTGTTGTGAGCTAATGTGAAGAAAAAGTGAACCAATGCAATCAGCAAGAAACTACTGATTGTATGCTTGGCTTATGCGGCCAAAAATATCATATAATTCTCATTGTTGTACAGCTGGTTCCTTCTGTATTTTTAGAGACTGACTGTTTTAATCTTATATTTTCTGGATGGCTTATTGGATAGGTATATGCAGGTTCACTAGGTGATTCGGCATGCTTCTTAATTTTTAAGGTTTGGATTATTGTTTACTTCAGAAGGATCCACTGTGGGTAGGAACTTGCCGAAGATTTCCAGTTAGCTACTCCTGCATATCTATAGATGGAAGTTAGATACACGTGAACTGTATCAATTCAAAGCCTTGCTGCAACAATGGTACCCGGAACTATCCATTGTTTTGCTTAAATTAAGGAATGATATCACAACCCAGCTTCGCCCATCATAACTAACACCCAAAACTATAGTATAGATTGGTTTCGCATCACATATCTACAGACCATTTTGGTGGAGCACAAGGTCAGTAGAGGTCCAAATTTACTATAATTCTTCAAATGGTCCTCTCTGTCGTATGGAAGAAAAACATGTACCACCCATGTGAGCTTGAGAATATGTGAAATGTCACCCACACACACATGCAAGCATGTAGAGTGGACTAGAAAATACAGATGTGGAAAGGAAAATACCGGGATGGAGTCCAAGTGCGAGAGTCTCTTCCCCAGCCTTCCTGCAACTTGAGAATCTCCCTCTTCTGCTAAAATGCTTGCAATGGTTTGGTCATCCTCTGTGTCTGGAAAGCTGCTATTCAAACTTGAAGTCGAGCTCACACTTGCATTACTGTAGCTTTCAGTCATACTATGCCAACATCAACAAATCTAAGCTAAAATGCACAAATTTCTATACAAGATGATAACAAACTTCAAAATTAGAATATACTCTCTTTTTTTTGGATAAGTTAAAACTAGAACATACCATTCCTACGAACAAACAGCATTCTTTAATCTAAAGATTTATAGGCATCCATTCCCTAATTTAATAAAGAAATAAGCAAATACAACAGCTAAACTAACCATGCATCATGAATCAAGGAACAATTTATTTACTTTAGCTAAGTCAATCAAAGAGAAACCAAACAAATCCTAACTTTCCATGTTTCCCCTTCAATTTTCTCAGCAACCAAACATAGCAAGTAACAAAGAAGAAAAATTCCCACTACTCAATTCAACAGCAAGAGAAATGCAAAAGCTCACACAAACCAACCGAGAACAAACTCAAAACTTGAGCAAAGAATAAAGAAAACCCAGCATCAAAATTCAACTTTACAGGCTGATAAAATAGTAGAAATGAAAAGATTCGATCTTTTTTGGTGGGTTTGAATCTTATAAATCAATTCCCAGCAACCAAACACACGAAAAACGAAAAGAAAAATTCAATGAACCCAGTTGAATACATGATATAAAAGGTCAAAGTAAATAATAGACAAATAAAAAAAGGCATGTACTTTATTAGAAAAAGGAGAAAGAGAGAAAAGAATAATAGGTTACCTGGATATGAAATGGTGAGGAAGAAGGCCTTCGCTTGTGTAGGTCAGAGGCTTCAAGCCTTCAACTATTATTTGGACAAAATGAATATATATTAACGCATAGACTACATATATATATAAGTTTTGGACTTGACGTTATCGTCTCTCTTTCCGGCAAGAAACCAACACAACACGTTGCTTTAGAAAGACTTTTCCATTTGCTTTGTTCATGTGTCATGACTTGGAATACCAACGTTGTAAGAAACAGTCCCTGGATCATGATCTTGTTTATTTTTGTTCTAGAAACAAAAGTAGAAAAAGCCGGAGATCATGACTGATGAACAAATAATAGTTCGACAAATGTAGCACGAGTTGGATGACTATTTCAAATGTCGGCTTGAGGAACACATAGTAGAAAAACTCCTTATCATCACTTGGATTGAGATTGGTGAGCACAGTCAAATTATGGATCAACTAGTTATCTGAATTTGATCTGGTCTCCCTAGTCCAGCATGGCGGCACAGGTGATCAGGCACTTACAATCGGGGTGACTAAGCGCTGGCGCCTGTCCAGGCCTGGCCCAGTGACATACAATTTTAATTTTTGCTCTCCACGTTTTTTTCTTGCGCTGTCATTTTCTCTTACATTTACTTTAATACGAAGCACACAATTTCTCTTATAATCATGTAATACACACATAATCCATGGCATAACTTCAAACTAGCCAATGAGCCACTTTAATGGGTGAATAACATGATTTTCTCGTCCATGAAGAAATTACAAGCCTAGATGTATAAACACTCCCGAATCAATGGGGTTTTCTAGCATACTACGCTTCCTTGCACTTTTCATATTTTGCTTTCTTCTCCATTATTTTCTCAATAGATATACAAGTGCTAAATTAAACATTGAAGTGTTCCATGTCCCAATAAAAAACTAGTTTTACATACTTGTTGTGCATGGCTAACCATAGAAGCATCTCTCTTTTTTTTAGGAGAAACACCCTTCTAGATGGCTGCAGTTTATGGTTTTAAACTTGAAGGGAAGGGGATTGGGTTGATCAAATGCACGTGTTGAGTCATACGCAACATTTATAACTGCAAATTCTGTAGTTACTGCAAAATCGTAACTGAAGATCTTTCAGGGCAACATGCACAAGGAAAGAAGATTGAAATATTGGGATTCAACTTTTACTAAATTCTGCTGGAAATTTGCTGCCATTATTCTGCAGTAACCAGCTGCCATTATACTGCTGTAAATGACATTGATCTCCTGTCCAACATATAATATATACACGCACCGCCGTAATTTTAGAAGAAAACAAGAGAGAATAAAATCTTCATTCTATCACTGAACAAGTTTCTATAGCACTCAATGTTGTTCTAACACGTCAATGTTTTTTGGAAGTTATAAATTCCGTGACTCAATAAACACGATATTCTCTTATTGACAAAAAAACAAACTCATTTGTCATCAAGTCCAACCTGCATTTTCATCCCTTCACAAGATACATGATGTTTTCCTTCGTAATTATTTAATCCTCGTTCAGAATCCCCTAAACTATGCCTATTATCCTCCCCCGGTCGTTTTTCAATTATCTATTCTTCTTGTAGCCTTATTTTTCATGACATCTGCTGTTAATGTTCACATTATTCTGCGAATCTTCAGTGTTGTAATGTTGTTCACAGTATATATACTTTTTATATGTTAGTGGTGTTTCACACCACAGAGGTTATCGTGGATGCAATTAATGCCAGTGAAATTAGACTCAATGTGTCATGACGCTCCACCTGACTTGGGCTAAGTTTGAAAAAACGGAATGGAGTTAATTGATCAAACCCGAGCGACATGTTAATTCATAAATTAATTATTTAATTAAAAACAAATCTTAAAATGATACTATTAACTCGATTTGGAACAACTAAGATTAACATGCTTAACTTTCATTGATCTTCTTTCTTTCTTTCTTTCTATTCATATCTCCTTTGCTAATAGCCATGGCATCTAACAACGCAGTAAACATACTGGAGGTTTCCCATGACCAGACCGCCTCATCAAATTCTTTCCTTACACAAAATGTTTGCAATGAAAGATATTATTGAGTTGCAGAGTGGCTGGAAAATTCCTTCCTCTTTCTATTTAGAGCAATTAACATGAGAGAATTAGTGAGAACAGGACTCGGAAAATTTGTAGAATTTTGCAAAAATCCCTTCTTTTTGGAAGAACATTTTAAACATAAAAGAAAGAATGCAGGGAATACGAAAGCACTAACCCATATCATTTTTCTTTTCCATGTTGAAATTAAGATGATATGAGAAATCGAATTTTAAGATTGACAGTAGCAGCAAAAACTACTTCTTTTTTCCTTCTTTCTCTTTAATGAAGAAAACCCATATTATATATTAAGCATAGACTGATTAACGGAAGCCAACAATGGGTCAAGCCAGAGAGAGCTACTTTCCATATCGCAATATTAGGAGCGAAACACAGAAGAAAACCAAGTATAGCATGACAAACTTAGGAGCCTACAAATGCATCCAGCAGCTAGACAAACAGAAGCGTACGCTTCTGACAAGCAAATTGTCCAAATTTACAAAGGATTGACGCAGAGGATTCCTGCAATTGTCAAAGCCACAATTGTGTAAGATACCCCAAAGTTACATAGAAAACATTCATGTTTATGAGATCATCGTATTCATGTCCACCACCAGGCATCGGTTGTGATGGTGATTCATCTTCACTGTAATTTTTCTGCGACGAAGGTCCACACAAAAAAGGGTTCCATTCATAACCGCTTTCATCAAAGGTCCAATCATAACTGCTCATGATTGAGGAGTAATTCATTTTGAAGAGATTAAAAGGCCTTTCCTTTGAAATTTTCCAAATGTACGCTTTGAAAATCTTAATATTTAGACAAAAACCAGCATGGTATTAAGCCAAAAATATTTAGGATACATTTGGTAACTTCACTAAACATATACTGTATAAGATAATGATCAAAAGGGAAGAGATTAAGGTATAGGTTTCAAATATAAAGAATAAGATAGTATTATTTTAATTAAGGTATAGGATATGCAGACATATTTTAAATGCTGTCTACAATGCAATACGTCCATTCTTATCTCCAATTATTTCAATTTTTAATAAATCTATTCTTTTAATTTTTATTCAAACCGTTTAATATTATAGCATAGAGCGTTTTTTATAAGTGGTTAATTTTTTCTTGAAAATATATAACATGATTTTCTTAAGATTATTTTTAAGATAATAATTACCAAACAATAATTAAAAAAATTCATCTTATTTGTAATTTGCTATAAAAACTAATTAATTTTAAAAATAAGGTAAAAAATGACAGGTAGCTTCTTGAATAAAATCATAGTTATTAAATTTAAACCGACCTAGTGGGTAGATCTAAAACCCGGTAGCTAGACCAGTATGTGCAAGACAAAAAACTTTTTAGTGAAAAAAAACCCGGCTAGACCTGATATTTTTTTTAATGTGGTTTTTAGATTTTTTTTTTCATGTTTTTAAAATAATGAAAATGTAGGAGTTGTTTCATTAAATTTGTCTTTAAGCAAGGGTAAAACTAGCGTTCTGCACCAAATGAACAATATTCTTGCTACCGACAGCACTGATGCGTTTTCTAACAGATCGAATTGGGATTTGAATACCGACAACAAAATTGGTGTCAAACGTGAAACTACTACTGGAATAGTTGAAACTAACACCGTTAATGAAAAGCAACTCCTTAATAGCAGGGAGTGCAAATCTAGTAATGAAATATAAAAATTTTATTTTTTTAATTTTTTTAAATTTAAATTAACTTAAATTAACCCGAATATACTTATAAAAATTAGAATCCAGTTGCTTGACCGGCCAACCTCAGTTTGATAAGTAAAACTATTAACCAATTATTAATTACCAATCAAAAATAGCAATTAAGTTGGAGGCATAAATCGACGAGCAACAAAAATGATGAAAAAAGAGAGTGAGGGACCAGAAACCCTAACCTTTCTATTGCAGGGCTGGTCACCATAACAAAAACGACGAGCAACAAAAACGATGAAAATAGCGATTGAGTTGGACGCGCCTCGTGCGACTCTTTAATGATACGGACGCTGTTTATTATTTAAGGATATATAAAATACAAGTTAGTAGTTTTTTGATTAAAAGATAAAAGATATAATGTGAACATCTTTATAATTTTCTTAATTATATAAAATATCTATTGAAAAGTATTAAAATACCTTTAAATATAAATTTTTTTTCTTATCTTTTTTAAGACTAAAATATTATTTGATTCTACTTGAAAATTAAAAAAATTAAATATTTTTATGGAAAAAAACTAAAAAAACATTTATCCATTCACCTTAAGAATAAAAAATTAAAAAAATACTATTACAATCTACTCTTTTAATCTGAGTAATTTCTTCATTTATCTTATGTTATAATAAACCTCCTGTAAATAAAAAATAAATAAATAAAAATAAAGTAAAAATAATAAAAAAAACATGTATGAGAGTCTGATTATTTTGCTTTTCAAAGTATTTTTTGTTAAAAAAATATATTACTAATATTTTTTATCTTTAAAAAATTATTTTTAAAATTAATATATTAAAATAATTTAAAAATATTAAAAATAAATTAATTTAAAATAAAAAATTTTAATTTTTTTTAAAACACTTTTAAAATCGCACCTAAACGGCACTAAGCCAGAAGCTGAAGTTGAATTGGAATTGGGTTTGGGGTTAAAAAAGCATTAAAGCAAACCTCAAAAAGGAAAAAAGAAAAAGGAAGAGTGAGACTGAGAACACCAATAGGTTAAAAGAGTAAAGGTATCAATGTTCTTCACGCTGAGCACTTCACCTGTTAATCTCCTCTCCATCGAGTATACCATCCTTGAATGTCTTCAACTTTGGCCACACAATTCTTGGAATTTCAGGTAATGATCTTGATCTTTCCACTTTTAGCTGAAGTTTATAGATTGATTCTGGCTTGTTGAGTATGATCTATGGTTAAACTATCCCCCGTACTTGTTTTGAAAGCAAAATTACCTTCATTTTTCTGTATTTTGACAGGAAGCCTGGACATTCGCATGAGCATAGCTAGTGTATATATATAAATATATGTTGTGTTCAGGTTAACGATCTTAGAAAGAAATGGCATATGAATCTTGATTGTTGGCAATGAAGGAATCAAAGTATTTGATTTGTCATTTGGATATGTTACTCTTCCAGCCTGCATATCTTTTCCAATCCAACGTTTGAACAATTGCTGAAAAACATTTTCTTTCTGTAGGTATAGAAATGGAAGAAAGAAAGTGGGAGGATTTAGAGTTTTACTGCTTAGTGAATGTGCTGGGAAGGGTGGGCATGAAATCACTTCTATTAGATGTCCCTTTCGTGTGCAAGTCATGGTACAAAGCCAGCCTTGATCCTTCGTGTTGGAAGTATCTTGTTTTCCCTAAAGATTTGGACTCAGAACTGGATTTTACCTTGATTGATAGATTTAAGGAAAAATATAAAATTGAAAACTGTTCTGTGGATGCATTTACCAAATTTGCTGTTGGTCGTAGCCATGGGAATTGCACTGGTCTTTATCTTCCAAATGGCTGTACAGAAGAAGTTGCAAAGTACGTTGCAGATGAGTAAGTTCTCTTCCCTTTACAAAAACTAACACTAGAATACACAAACACACACAAATATGCTATTGAGAAACTGTCACCTTTTTACATATTCTTAAGAGTGTTTTAAAGTACAAGAAGATGAGAAGTTTTAATGATTCTTTTCAGGTGTCCTGCCTTGATAACTCTGTCATTGCCCTATGATAGTATACGCTGTGAATCATCCATTGTTCCATCCCTCATAGGGAAGTGGGAACATTTGGAGAATTTGTGGCTCGGAAGTTCTGAAAATTTGGTAAATATAATAACCCAAATCAGCCTTGCCTGCAATAAATTTTCTGGCCTGCGGATATCATCTGCAATCATTCAGGAAGAAGAGGCATCGGCAATTGTCACTAATCTTCCAAATATAAAGTTCCTGCTTCTCAGGGGGGCCCGGATCTATTTCGAGAATCTAGTGATAATATTGCAAGGATGCAAAAACCTTGTACATTTAGATGTACGCGACTGCTTAGGTTTTGACTCCGATGATGAAGCGGTACTGGAGCTCGCTTCGAATATCAAGACATTCAATTGTGAAGGTTCAACGCTGCACGATTACGATGACGGTGTAATTGACCATGACGACCTTGTTTATGATGGTTACATTTCAAATTGAAGATGGTGTTCAGTTACGGGACCGGTGCTGCTCATGATCACCTCTACTATATTTTTGCTGCTTGTGTGCCTGAGGCTTGGATGACATTAGTTTTTTGCATGTGGCATTTGTTGCGTTGTGTGCCTCTATTTTGTGGATGTATATGCTATGATTTACCTGTTTCCTTGAGTTTTCGAATCTTCTTTTTAATATTGCATTTATTAAATTTCTATGAATGCATTCGTAAATTATAACCAAAAAAAAAAAAAAAACCTCCTTCGATAAAATTATTTGTCGTCAAATATAAGTTGTAATTAGGCAGCAAAGAGATTTGGTTTCCATAATAATTGAATCTCCACTCTCTTGTACATATGGCATATTGAAGAAAATAGGGAATACTCGGGGGCGGCTTTGTTGGTTTAATTGCATCTTTTGTGTTTACGATGCAAAAAATTGCATCTTTTGTGTAATATATTAAATTGTGTTTTTTATTGTAGGATTTACTAAAAAAATTAAGTTTGAAATATAATTTTTTAGAAATAGTTTTTATATATTTTTATAATTAAGTTTTGTAAAATTCTGTTTGTTTTTTGCATTTGGAAAGTGTTTTTAAAAAAGTTTATCTTTTTTACTTTAAATTAATATTATTCTTGTGTTTTCAAATCATTTCGTTTATATTAAAAATTATTTTTAAAAACTAAAAAAATTATTTTTATGTATTTTCAAATAAAAAATATTAAAAAAAAACTGCAACTATATAATTACAAAAAAATTTATACATATTTTTTTTGTTGTGTATAAATTTTAATAATAATTTTTACTAAACACATTTAAATTTAACTAATCACATTTAACTATATTTTTTTAAAACTTAATTTTTTTAAATTACAACTATAAAAACAACCTTAAACAAACACAATCACACTGTACTTCCAGCATATATATTTTAAAGAAATAGGAGCGGTCATATTTTATTTAATACAAGATGAAAGTTGTAGAGTGGATGGGCTACCTTTTTTAAATTAGGCTTGATTAAGACTATTGGATCCTTGATTTCCTAGGGTGCTTTTATCCTTCAATTTCTGCATGGGCTGTTAGCCTCATTTCTGCGAGAGCCATCTCAGTTTTATGGGATCCATCAACTACAAAATTTCGTAGGCTACCAGAAAATCATTGGGACGTGGTTTTGATACTTCCAGATTTTGATAAAATTAGGGTTTTCGAACCCCGCTAATCTTAATTTGTCTATAGTGTAGAGAATATATTATCCCACGCCCATCGAATCCTAAAAACAGTGTGCAAATATACCCGCTATCATCCTTGATTTATCGAGACCATGTGGGGCAAATGATCAGGGATTTACATTTTGAGCTTTTATTGTTTTGTTAATACATATATATAATCTAGATCTTTGACTTTGTCTCAATTAAATAATCTTAATCCACCTATTGTTTTGTCTCAATTAAATATACTTTTGTCTCTTCGTAACTATAATAATTTACATCTTTGTCTTTGTTCTAAGATTTTTTCAATTTTGTTCAATGATCAATGTTTGTGATTTGTAGATGAAAATTTATTGGTTTTCGTATTTTAATTTTCTTAACATTTGATTTTGTGTAATCTTTAGTGGTGGTTTTTTTAAAAAAAAAATCTCTGATTAAATTGACTAGGATATTCAACGGATGAAGGAAGCCCTCTCCTTCCAATTCAACTTGATTTAACTAAATCGGATGCAAGAGTAGGTGATAGTTGCAAGTATTCTGAATCCACTAAGAGTACAGTAAAAGCTGGTCGTACGCACTAGCTCGATCGATTAAGAGAGTTGAGCACACCATAGATAAGTAATCAAGCAGACTGAAACAACAGCGAAACCATCTCAGAACACCATGGCAGCAAGTAACTCAAACTCTAACTCCTAGTTCTGCCTGTAAGTACCACATTCCTTAGTGTGTGAGAGAGAATGAGGGATCAGCGAGAGATTATCGAGTTTAGAAATCAGGGATTTCTTTATAGAGAGAAGATTTGGGGTTGAGGCTGGATATAAGTGAAAAATGGGGTCTTGAAACTATTGAATCGAATTGGTTGACTTCGAGTTCCTTTGCTGGATAAATTCATGGGAAAATATAAACCGGGACGATGTCTTTCCGATGCATTTATCAAAATCACAGTTGGTCGTAGCCATGGAAATTGCACTGCTGTTAGTCTTCCAAGGGACTGTAATACAGAGGTTCTGAGGAACATTGCAACGAGTAGGTTTTCTAACCTAATCAAAATCTTAAACTTGACAATTGACATTATATTTAATCACTTTTATTGGTAGAAAACAAAATTATCTCAAGGGGTTGGTTTAGAGGTTAAAAAGGTATGTTTCCTTACTTAATTTACTTTTCTGGGTTCAAACCTTCGAGCCAGCAAGCAGCGTTAAGGGTGCGCTCTTGATATTGTCTGGGAGAGAATTTATTCTCAGCTGCTAGTCGAACGATACCCTTGAAAAAGAAAGAAATTATAAAAATTGCTTTTGGACTTAGCATCTGCTTTGATTCTTTTTCTGAAATTCCAAACTTTTACATGATTTCAAATTTTCTCTTTTAATATCACAATTAACATGCAATTATGTATTGAAATCTGTAATTCGAATATTGCGAAGCATATAGTCGTCAAGGTGATTTCTGAGTTGATTTGTTTTTTCCATGGCTTCTGCCTTGAGAAATTTGGAGAATTTGATACTTGGGAGTTCAAAAAACATGGAAAATATAATAACGCAAATCAGCCTGGACTGCAAGAAACTTGTTGGCTTTCGTGCATCTTGTGGTGTATCTATAGATATTCAGAACTTCTTGATGATATTACAGGGTTGTAAGGAACCTTGTATACTTTAATGCAAGCAACTGCGTAGGTTTCGAGCCTTCTAACAAATTGATGTAGAACATATGGCAGAGAGTAGAACAGATTGCAGAGAAAGTTCCAGAAATAAAAGAAGGAGCTGCAGTTGCCATTGGAGTGGCCCTTTCGCCAGATTGTTTCCTAAATTTAGAACTTTCGATTTATGCCTTAATATCAGAATTTATTTACTTTTGGGAATTTTAGTGTTTTTTTCTTATTTCAGTTATTTCTTTCCTAAACAGTTATAATACTAATCAAATTAGGTTTTGCAGCTTATATAAAGGTGCTTCCTTTCATTGTAAGGTATTTTTGAATCAATAAAGAACTTTCTATTCTCTGAACTTGTGAATTCGAGTATATTACTTCTTCATTCGAAGATTCCAAAGCAGGCGGCACCCTACTTCCTCGTAAGTTTCCGCTACGTCACAAATTGTTAGAGCTTTTGCTTCGCACATTAGCACACATTCAAGTGTGAAGGTTCAAGAATTGATGATTTTTTTATTTTTCTTTTATTTACGTGGGGTGTCTGGGTCAGTTTATATGCATCATGATTAATCTCCACAGCCCATTGAACATCCTGTAAGCCCAGTGAGCAGGTAAGGCACCGCGAGGATGACAGGCGTGCATGGTGAGGTTCGAATCCAGGTGCGAAGGAAGGAGACAAGCCCCTCCCACCACTAAGCCAGAACCTCACTTGCAGACTTGATGATTTCTTAGACTCTAAAATGGCATGGTTTCAATTCAGTACTTGCCGATAACGAACACGTTGACCTGATTTATTATAAAAAAAAATTATTTGATTATTAGAATGAAAATATATACAACATTATTTTATCATATAATTAATAATATTATTTTTATAATAAATCAGGTTAATGAGTTCTTTACCAGCAAGTACTGAATTTAAATTTATCATACAATTAAATAATACACATGTTATTTATGTAATTCATAAGGAGTTATAATTTTTTTAAAAAACAAAAAATGAAACTTTGGGCCAAAAATTCTAAATTTGTTTCTTCCTAGGGGTAAATAAGTCATTTTATTATATAAAAATATGAAAAAACTAATATACCCTCCAACAATTTTTAATGACTAATTAAAAATTGGAAAAAATCAAAATGTCCTCGCAATGTCCAAGCTTCCAGTTTTTCCACCATCCAAAGACAGAAAAATATTTTGTTATTACAATTCATAGTAAACAATTTTATAAATCTATATTGATAAGATTAGAGATATCATCTTCAAAGATATTTTGTGCTGAGGTGAAACACCCACATCTTATATATTTTTTGTTAATATATAAAACTGTCTACTATAAATTTGTAATGGTGAGATTAGAAAAATCGTCTCCACAATTTCAAGAGAAAAAAAACAACTAAAACTACATTGATAATTCATTAGGATATCCATTTGTTTGCTTCTTGAAGTCATTAACAAAAGTTGTGAGATTTGACATCATTACTACACTGGCTTCTTCTCCCATGGTTATCTCATGCAGCCTCGTTAACTTATCATTCATCGTATGATCTTCCATCACCCTCCTCAAGCCTTGTTCCATTTCTTTTTCCCCAAATCCATTGATCTTTACTCCAATTTTCCATTTCTCGGTAATGTATGCACAGTTCACAAACTGGTCTCCGGCAACTGGATAGCATATAAGGCATTTTTGGCATTGTATTGCTTCCATTGTTGAATTCCATCCACAATGTGTGAGATAGCACATTACAGCCTTGTGTTGCAATACTTTCAGTTGCGGTGCCCATGACACCACTTTGCCTTGCTTTGACCCTCTTTCTATGTATCCGAAAGGTAACCCACCTTGCCAAGTAGGCCCTAACACCCAAATAAAAGGTTGTCCCATTGCTTCAAGTGTCAACGCAAGTTTTTTCACTTTTCCTTCTCCTATTGGGCTAACCCAACTTCCGAATGAAATGTAAAGAACCGAGCTAGGCTTTTGCTGGTCTAGCCATTGCAAGCAACTCATATCTTCTTCCCAGAAGCTAGGGTTTTTAACTAGTGGATGCTTACTCAATGCTCCAACTTGGAAAATGAGTGGTTGGTCCATAGAGTTCTCTAGCAATGCACCATTTTGTGGTTTGTCATGATCAACGCATTCCTCTGGAAAGGAATTCACAAGTAGCCATGAAAGCTTTCTTGATCGATTTAAGGTTCTTGTCCAAAACTCGAACCTTGCTTTCCTTGAAGCTGGAGTTCCAATTAGCCACGGAAGATCTTCAGTAGATAGCAGAGGTTGATTAGGTAGAAAGCATACTGGACCTAGATGTTGAGGACTTCCTGCCAAATGCCAGCAAGCTCTTTAAAATTTATAGAACGCATGTGCAAC